CCGAGCAGGGAGGATCCTGGGCAGGCTACTCAGGAGTGCCCTGCAGCACCTGCTACATGGAACACTACCAACTATGAGCTGACTTGCTGGAATCTACTCCACCCCTGGGTTGTTCTCATTGTTGTCGCATTAATGCTGACTCACGGTGATCCCACATGTGCAGAGCAGAACTGCTCCCCATTGGGTTTTGAAGGCTGTGACCTTTCAGAAGCAAACTGCCAGGCCTTTCTTCCAGAATGCCCCTGGGTGGGTTCAAACCGTCAAACTTTTGGCTAGTAGTCAAGCGCTTAACCATTTGCGCCTTCCTGGGACTCCAAGGGTAGTCCTGTCTAATGCACAGCAGACTGGGAAGGGAAGAAAATACCATCCTCTCCAACACAGTGGGCCTCAATCTTTTTGGTCTCATGACCCCTTACTACTGAAAATTATTTTGGAACCCCCAAAAAAGTATTTGTTTTTAAGAGTTAAATAATAATATTTGTTTTTAAGAGTTAAATCTATCAATATTGCAGATTAGAAATTAAAACAGAAAAAGTAAAAACATTTGTGTATTAATTCATTTTTAAAAAATAATAAACTCATTACTGGTTGACATAAATAGTAATTTTTAAATGAAGAATAGCTATATTTTCCAAAAGAAAAGAAAATTTAGAAGAGTGGTTTCACATTTTTTTACAAATTTCTTTAATGTTTGGCTTATGGAAGACAGATGGCTCCTCACATCTGCTTCTACATTTCAATCTCTTCCAATATGTTATTTTAGTTAAGTATATGAAAAAATATCTGGTCTTATACAAATATGTAGTTGGAAAATGAGCAGTATTTTAATAGCCTTCACAGATAATTTGGGATATTCTTCTTTGATACTATACCCAAACTCAACAATTATAGAAAAACTGAATACATCTATAACAAATAAATTAGTAATTCAAAAACTTCCCACCAAGAAAAGTGCAGGACCACATGGCTTCACTGGTAAATTCTATCAGATGTTTAAATAAGAATTAAAACCAATTCTTTTTAACTCTTCCAAAAAATACACCATGTTAATAGAATTAAGGAAAAAAACCCAGATTGTCATTTCAATTGATGTAGAAAAAGCATTTTACAAACTTCCACACCCTTTCATAATAAAAAACTCTGAACAAACTAGGAATATAAGTGAAACTATGGTTAAGAGTTCAACTGCTAACCAAAAGCTCGGCAGTTCAAATCCACCAGCTGCTCCTTGGAAACCCTATACGGCAGTTCGACTCGATAGCAACAGGTTTTTTTTTTAACTCCACCTGATAACGGACATTTATGAAAAACCCACAGCTAACATTATACCCAATGGTTAAAGACCAAAACCTTTCTACTTAAGATCAGGTATAAGACAAGAGCCTCTGTTCTTGCCACTTCTATTTAACATTGTACTGGAGGTTTCAGCCAGGAAAGTTAGGCATGAAAAAGAAATAATAGGTATCCGACTTGGAAAGGAAGAAATAAAGTTATTTCTATTCGCAGATAACACGTTCCTACATACAGAAAATCCTAAAGAATCCACAAAAAACTAGTAGAGCTAATAAACGAATTCAACAAAGTTGTAGGATACAGGATCAACACACAAAAGTCAATTGAATTTATATACACTAGCAATGAACAATCTGAAAATGAAATTAAGAAAAAAATTCCATTTACAATAGCATCCAAAAGAATAAAATACTTACGAATAAATTTAATCAAGAAGGTCCAAGATGTGTACACTGAAACTATAAAACATTGTTGAAAGAAAATAAAGACCTAAATAAATAGAAAGACATCCCATGTTCATGGATTTGAAGATTTAATATTGTTAAGACGGCAAGTGTCTATCAGCTGATGAATGGATAAACAAATTGTGGTATATCCATACAATGGGATATTACCTGGCCATAAACAAGAACAAAGTACTGATACATGCTACAACATGGAGCCACCTTGAAAACATTATGCTAAGTGAAAAAAGCCAATCACAAAAGACCACATATTGTATGATTTCATTTATATGGAATATTCAGAATTGGCAAATACATAGAGACAGAAAGCAGATTAGTGGTTGCCTAGGGGAAAATGGAAAGTGACTGCTAGTGGGTATGGAATTCTTTTGGGGATGATGGAAATGTTCTGGAAGCCACTGAATTACACACTTTAAAATGGTAAATTTTATGTTACGTGAATTTTTGTTGTTGTTGTTAGGTGCCACTGAGTAGATTTCAACTCAGAGTGACCCTATGTGACAGAGTAGAACTGTCCCATAGGGTCTTCTAGGCTGCAGTCTCTACAGGAGCAGATTGCCAGGTCTTTCTCCCACGGAGTTGCTGGTAGGTTCAAACCGCCGACCTTCTGGTTAGCAGTTGAGCACTTAACAATTGAGCCACCAGGGCTCCTTATAATAAATTTGTTATATAAAAAGTATAAAACAAAAAAACCCATTAGATGGATCCTTTACCCATGTGGATGATTTTGTAACATCACGCATTGGTCACTTTAAAAATACTGGTTCACTGAGTCTGTAGATCTTACAAATGCTGATATTATTTCATGAAATAACACTGAAAAATCACATTTGTTAATATCATTACCAACCTCACCAGAAAAGTCATTAACTATTGGGAAGCTGGTAAAACTCCTGGTGGTAGATACAAGTTTTCCAAGGTTCTAATTTTTAGTTGTTGTTGTTTTTCCTTTTTCATTATCCAGCTTTCACATGCATATATGAAATGAAATGAAAAAGGAAGACAGAAGAATTGATGCATTCAAACTGTGGTGTTGGCAAAGAATACTGAATATACCTTGGACTGCCAAAAAAAAATGAACAAATCAGTCTTAGAAGAAATACAACCAGAATGCTCCTTAAAAGCAAGGATGGCCAGACTTTGGCTCGTTTACTTTGCACACGTCATTAGGAAAGACCAATTGCTAGAAAAGGACATCGTGTTTGGTATAGTAGAGGATCAGTGAAAATGAGGGAAACCCTCAATGAGATGGACTGACACAAAAGCTGCAACAATGACTCAAACATACCAACGATCATGTAGATGGCACAGGACCAGCCAACGTTTCGTTCTGTTATACATAAAGTCACCATGAATAAGAGCCTACTCGATGGCAACTAACAACATCGACATAAAGCTACAGTAATTAAGACAGTGTAGTACTGGAAAAGGATAGACACATAGATTAAAGAACAGAATAGAAAGTCCTGAAATAGATCCATACACATGGCCAATTGATTTTCGATAAAAATGCAAAAGCAATCCAATAGAAAAAGCACAGTCTTTTTAACAAATGATGTTGGAGAAATTGGTTGATTCAAGTGAAAATAAACCTTGACCTAAACCTCACACCTTATACAAAAATTAACTCAACATAAAACGGATCTAGATGTAAAACGTAAAAATATAAAACATTTAAAAGAAAACATAGGCTAAAATCTTCATAACCTGGGGAAAGGCAACATGACATCAGAAGCATGATCCAAAGAAGAAATTTGATAAATTGGACTCAATCAAAATAAAAAAAAAAACTTTTTTTGCTGCAAAAACACTCTTAAGAGAATAAAAAGATGCACTAAAGACTTGGAGGAAATATTTGCAAATCACATATCTGACGGAGGACTTGTATCTAGAATTTATAAAGAATTTTCAAAACTCAAGAGTAAGAAACAAAAAACCCGGTTAAAAAACAGGCAAATGACTTCAACTTCACCAAAAAGCATATATAGAAGGCAAATAAGCAAACAAAAAGCTGCTTAGCATCATTAGCTACAAAGAAAATGCAAATTTAAACCACCATGAGGAACCTCTACACACCTATTAGAACGGCTAAAATAAAAAACAATGACAAAGTGCAGCAACTGGAACTCTCCTACATTGCTGGAAGGAATGCAAGATGGTACAACCACTCTGGAAAACTGTTGGGTGCTTTCTTATGAAGTTAAACATATACTTACCATATGAGCCAGCAATCCAACTTGTAGATATTTACCCAAGAAGGGAAAACATATGTCCATACAAAAACTTGTACATGAATACTTACAGCAGTTTGGTTCATACCTGCCCAAAACTGAAACAACCCAAATGTCCCTCAACAGGTGAACGTATCAATAAATTCTAATACAATGGAGTAACTCGGCAACAAAAATGAATGAACTACTGATTCGTGCAACAACTCAGATGAATCTCAAAGGCACTATACCGAGTGAAAGAAGCCAGTATCAAAAGGTTGCATGCTGTATTATACCATTTATATGACATTCCCGAGAAAACAAAACTATCGTGATGGAGAACAGATGGGTGGCTGCCAGGGATCATGGGTGCGGGGAGGTTATGACTACAAAGAAGTACCATGAGGGAGTTTTTGGGTGATGGAATTCTCGTTCTTGATTGTGGTGGTATTCTCGTTCTTGATTGTGGTGGTGGACACACATATCTATACATGTGTTAAAATTCATAGGATCGTATTCTAAGAAGAGTTCATTTTATTCTAAGTTATTTTAAAAAATAAAAGTAAACATAGAAAATAAAGTTTTCAAAGCAGGTAAGTCACTATTTTGGACAGAAGTACGGTGGGAAGAATTGGTTATAGTTCTTTCCTCTTGTTTTATTCAGCCCAATTTTTTATATGTAGATGGACCTACCTGAGCCTCTAAGAGGTTGACAATCACACTGATAACACAAGACCAGCAGCAGCATCTTCCACTGATAAGGGTGCTTCACTCACATTCAAAATTTACAATAGCCCGTGACACATGATTTATCCTCCTCTTTTTACCAAGGAAAAAACTGAGGTCCAAAGAGGTTGAGAGACACACCACAGGTTACACGCCCTGTCTGAGGCCAACAGGACTCCAGCTCAAAGCCTCCTGGACCCACAGCAGACAGCCCTCTCCTCCAGCTGCGTCTTACTCTCTGTCCTGGCTGCTGCTGTGAGTCTGTCTGATCAACCCCACTGGCCCCTTTGCAGGGCCTCCTACATACCGTGGCTGGTGACCACCGAGATGTGTGGGCCAAGGAGTGCCTCGTGATGTCTATCCCTCCATGGATGAGATAGGCGCTGGCACTGGAGGTGATGGGGGTCCCCGCAACATCCATGGTGATGCCTACCATGCTGTGGGAGGGGACCACTGGCGGTGACGAGGCTGCTACAGTCTCCTGGGCACTGCCCGGGGCCTCAAAGTATGCTGTGGCGCTGCTGGAGGCGTACTTCTGGGGCTTGGGGTTGTAGGCATAGGCCGTCCGTCTGTCAGAAAGAGAGGTCACCATGAAACCCTATCCGGTTTAAGTGCCTTCTCTTAATTTTGAAGGAATCCAGCCAAACTTCATGGGAAAACTGGAGCCTCATGATATATGGGACATGGTTTCATGGCATATGAAATTCCCATGCAACACAATGCTCCAAACTATCCTCTCTGGAAGTATTCAGCATCATATGCTGACTAATCGAAAACTGATCCTCACAAAATTCTAAGAGTGAATAAAAGGGTCACATGTGGGAGTTCCTTTGTGGACATGGGCACTTCTGTATATTGATCATGTTACTGGTTACATAAATCTATACCTGGGATAAAACCACATAGAACTAAGCCAGTACCAGTGGCCGTCAAGTCGTCTCCCACTCATGGTGACCTTATGTGTGTCAGAGTTGAACTGTGCTCCATAGGGTTTCCAATGGCTGATTTTTTGGAAATAGATTGCCAGGACTTTCTTCCAAGGCACCTCTGAGTGCACTCAAACCTTCAACCTTTCAGCAGCCAAGTGCATTAACCATTTGCACCACCAGGATGTACATCAAAAAGTATAAAGGAGAAGAATTTGTTCAAACACAGCCCGAAATATAAAGAAGTAGAAGAGTCATAAAACAAGGGGAGAGGGAAAAAGAACACATACACGGCTCCATTCGTGTAGACGGTGTCTCCCTCCTCCACGTACTGCACCTGGGCCCGGCAGACATGCTGCATGGACTGTACCTGCAACAACATCACACATTCTGTGTTACAGACACTTGTTTCCTCGTGACATCTTCCCAGATTATTCAAGCTGAAAATATCTTATGCTGCCCTTTATACATACTTACTAAGTACTAAGTTAGTTTTTCCACCCGCAGTCAAGACTTCCAGAAAGAAACTAGGAGAGACAGTGTTGTTGTTGTGTGTCGTTGAGTTGATTCTGACTCATAGTGACCCTGTAAACAGAGTAGAGCTGCCCCATAGGGTTTTCTAGGCTGTAATCTTTACAGGAGCAGATCATCACGTCTTTCTCCTGTGCAGCCACTGGATAGGTTTGAACCGTTGACTTTTCGGTTAGCAACAAACATAGTAAAGACTACACATTCCACACAGAACAGCGAATGAGCCCGAGTCTTGCTGTTCCTGTTGCCATCCACGTGCCATTTCCATGAGCAAAGACTCATTTCCCCTGCAGTGTATGAAGGAAGTGCGGTCAGGGCCCCTCATTTGCATAATGGGGCAGGAAATAGAATGATGGCTCCTGTACTAAGTGTGTCTAGCGGTCCAGAGAGTGGCAGGGGAAGAGCCAGCTGACAGCTGAGAGCAGTGAAGCTCAGAAGCTTCCCATGGCCTGCACCCTCCTCGTGGACTCCCGACAGTCACACCCCACAAGGCAAAGGGCCTGTAGCCCCTGGGGCAGAGAAGCCAATCTTGCTGGACAGGAAGCCCAGGCCAACCAGGCCCCTGGAGTATGAACCACTCCTGCTAGGGCAGAGAGGTAAAACTATTTTCCTCCACATGCCCCACCCCCAGGCTTCCCTTGGGGGGCCTTGGTGTCCCCTCCCTGGCAGAGGCAAGGATCCTCAGAGTCATACTTGGGGTGTGAAGGCCTGAGCAGAGGTGGAAGGCAGCCCGGTGCCTGGAGTGGGGTGATGGAAAGAGGAGGGCAAGGCGAAGAATCCCACACCCTCCCACTCGACACCATAGGAAAGTCAGCTGAACACCCTAGCAAATGACTCCAGGGATGCTGGCACTAGTGTTGGACGCCCAGCATTCTGTGTGCAGAACCTCAAAATCTCATAGCAGAGAAAATCTTTTTTTTACTATTTTATTTATTTTTGTTGTTGTTGAGAGTATACACAGCAAAATATACACCAATTCAACATTTTCTGTACAATTTAGTGACACTGATTACATTTTTCAAGTTGTGCAAACATTCTTGCCCTCCTTTTCCGAATTTTTCCTTCCCTATTTACATAAACTCACTGCCCCCTAAGCTTCCTGTCTAATCTTTCAAATTGCTGTTGTCACTTTAATCCCATATAGATAGTTCTTAAAAGAGCATAATGCTCAAGGTAGACACTTTTTACTAGTTAAGCTAAACTACTGTTTGGTTTTAAGAAGACTTCAGGGGATATTTTTGCTGTAAGGTTTAAAGATTATACCAGGACAATAATTTCAGGGGTTCAGCCAACTTTCATGGCTCCAGGAAGTCTGGAGTCCATGAGAATTTGAAATTCTGCTCTGCATTTTCCCCCTTTGGTCAGGATTCTTCTATAAAATCTTTGACCAAAATGTTCAGTAATGGTAGCCTGGCACCACGCAGTTCTTCTGGTCTTATGGCAAAGGAGGCAGTTGTTCACGGAGGAAATTAGCTACACATTCCATTTCCTCCTCCTATTCCTGACTCTCCTTTCAAGCAGAGGGAATCTTAATGGACAACCAACTCAGCTTAATTTTAGGGTAAGAAAATCAACGGCCAAAGCATTGACTATGCCAGGTCTCACCATGGCCATCCCTGAAAGCTGTTACTTGGGACTGCAGGACGGGGCTGATGTCCACCTGCTAGGGATACTCAGCCATGGTTTACACTTGCAAAAGGCACAATTCCCTGGAATAAGAAGCATCCCAGGAGAAAGTTCTAGAAATGCTGGGTAGTGTCCCCAGGGGAAGAAATCAAAGCCCAGGGGATCAAGTGACATACGGAGTCACCCAGCAGGTCAGAGACATCCCCAGAGAGAGAGAGCTGGAACAGGCCCAGCCCCCAAGGGTGGGGAAGCTTCTGGAGTCACACACTGGCCTGTCTCCCCTCCCTCAGTGATGTCACCAGGACAGATGTGTGCAGAAGTAAGACTTGGGCCCTGGCCTGAAGGCCTAGTTCCCTGCTGGGCCTGCCAGAGCCGAGCCTTTGCTCTCTGTAACTCCACAAATCTTCCCAGTTCTCATCGATGCAGTCACCAGAGAAGCGCCTTTAAACCTGCTACCAATCTAGGAAGAAGCCCCTTGAAGAGGGAGACCCATTCTCTGGTCTTGGACCGCTCTGTATGACACTTTTGGTTCCTTTTGGGCAGGAGCCTGGATTAATTTTAATACAGCATCTTACACAGCAGGGTTCCTCGAACTCTGGCCCACGAGCCAGTTTGTAAATAAAATTTTATTGGTACACTGCCACACTCACTCGTTATATCATCTGTAGCTGCTTTCACTGTACAACAGCAGAGTTGAGTGGTTGTGACGGAGACCGTCTGGCCTGAAAGGCCAAAACTATTTACTTTCTGGCCTTTTATAGAAAAGGTTTGTGGCCTGCTGTTATATATCACGCTAACGATATTTGAATTGATGGTTAGTGTTATTGTTCAGCAGGTTAGCTCGAGCTTTCAAGCTTTATTCTTCAGTAATTTAATTTCAGAGGAGGCACTCATCTGACGGTGCAATATTTGCTTGTGTGTGGGTTTGTCTCCCCAGGAGGCTCCTGTTCCTCCAATCTGGAAACCCTTGCTATCCATCTGTGCTTCTACCCAGTGCCACTAGTTGTCTGCTTGCTCTCTAAATGCTTGCGGAATTTATGAACAAATGGAAGATCGTCAGCTTTCTTGTCTTACTACAAAACTATCTGCAGCACAAGTTGATTTTGTTTTTGTTTCTTTTTGCATACCTGCCAGAAGAACCTTCTGGGCAAGGAACTGAAGATATCAAACAAAAAGGAACAGCAACAACAAAGAAGGATTTGTCTCCAAGAGATTATTCTGGATTGCTAAATGCTAGCTGCATTCCAATAAGAAGTCCAGGTGGACAATGGTTAAACGCTTGACTGCTAACTGAAAAGCTGGTGGTTTGAACCCACCCAGAAGCCCCACGGGAGAAAGACCGGGCAATCTGCTCCCATAAAGATTACAGCCAAGAAAACCCTATGGGGAAGAGTTGATAGGAAACTTAATGAATTTATGTTAATGGGGGTGGAACAATTCGGAAAAGGAGGGCAAGAATGGCTGCACAACTTGAAGAATGTAATCAATGTCACTGAAATATACATGTAGAAATTGTTGAACTGGTGTACGTTCTGCTGCGTATATTCTCAACAACAAAAAATAAAAAAAATAAAATACTAAAAAACCCACATACTCTGTCACACGGGATGGCTATGAGCCAGAATCAACTCCATAGCACCTAACAACCACCGAGCTCCAAGCCAGGTGTGCTGTTCTTACCTGCTGTGGCACCTGCTGCACTCTGGGGAAGGAAATCAGCTCCATCTGGGCCCCTCTGGTAGCAAAGCCTGCTGCCTGGACCAACACCTGCTAGAAGGGAAGGGACGAGAAGGACACTTACTGTGTCAGAGCTCATTCCGTAAACAGACATACATACATATATAGATAAATGGGAATATTAAGGATTTACATTAGTATACGATACTTCATCAGATCTCCAATTACAATATTTGTGTCCAATACTGTAGCTACTAGGTGTGTAGCCATTTGGCTATCTAAACTTAACTAAATTCAAATAAATTTTGAAATTCAGTTCCTTGCTTACACTGGCCACATTTCAAGTGCTCCAGAGTCCTGGGTGGCTGGGGCTCCTGTGTGAGCCAGAGCAGACACAGACCATTTCCACCACTGCCATGGAATGTTCTACGGACAGCATAGAGCTGAGTGATTATGCTGACGAGCAAAAGCCCACCACGGGACTGAGTAAGGGAGACCGCCTCTTTCTGGGAAGGAACTGGCCAGCCAGACCAAGCTCTTCCTGTGCAGAGAGCTTCGTGGGCCTGCAGGCGAGAGGGCTGGGACTGGTGGGGAAGGGCCGGCTCTCAGGGAGTTGGGTGAGGACTGGTGGGAAGGAGGCTCAGTGTGGGGAGCAGACATTGCCTGACTGGGGAAGTAGAGGTGGAGAGACAGGAAGGGCTGGTGGGGAAGCTGCCAGGGAGGGTGGGAGCTGGAAGCAACTACAGCAGGGATGGGAGCCTGGAAGGGCCTCCGCGAAGGGCTGCCTGGTGGGACCCTGGGTGGATGCGATGGCCTTGGCAAAGACATTGGGACCAGTCCTGCTGTGGCTGCTGGAGAGGGACATGGAGCCCACTCAGGCTCAGGAGGTATCCGAGAGGGTTTTGGGAGAAGGACCCAGGGAGCAGCAGGTGGGAAGGCTGAAGTGGCCAAGTTCAGTAAGGCCAGGACTTGCTGGCAAGAAGACTGAGTCTGATCATTCGCTCCCGGCGCTCTCAGATGGACCTCCGAGATGCTCCACCACCACCTTGCCATATTTGAAAGAAATAAAAGCTAAAGTTGTATGACTGCACATTCTAAATTGAGTAAAGTGTAACCTGTTGCTGTCAAGTCAATTCTGACTCACGGCAAACTTATGTGTTACAGAGTAAAACTGCTCCATAGGGTTTTCTTGGCTGTAATATTTACGGAAGCAGATCGCCAGGCCTTTCCTTCATAGTGCTGCTGGGTGGGTTTGAACCACCAACCTTTAGGTTAAGTGTTGTTGTTGTCTGCCCTCCAATCCATTACAAGTCATAGTTACCCTACAGGACAGAGTGGAACTGCCCCATAGGGTTTCCTAGGCTGTAATGTTTATGAGAGCAGATGCTGGGTCTTTTCTCCCAAGCAGCCACTGGGGGGTTAGAACTGTCAACCTTTCGGTTAGCAGCCAAGCACCCTAACCATTGTCCAACCAGGGCTCTTTCTTTAGGTTAGTAGTCACGTGCAAACCTTTTCGCACTACCCAGAGATCTAAACTGGTTTCTCTGTATGCCTTTTTGCTTTTGCTGAACTATGTTTTAGTCCCTTTCATCATTTCTTTTCACTTCTCCTAATTTTTAGACTGCTGCTGGTGAGTTGACGGTGGTCACATGGTCACAGTGAGTCTCTGGAGACGTCTATGAGCTTCTAGTCTATTCCGCAGATTCTGTCTCAGATGGTCTTAGGTCACCTATTCTCTGCTTCTGTCTACTTCATGTTTTATTGTAACTCATGGTAGAAATCCAGAAGTAGAGAGAGCCTGAATGTGAAGATTCTCTATCTGCAAATATTAAAGAACATATTAATTCTAACGCTAGATTCAATTTTGTACCAAACACTAAGAATTCTAACTTATCTCTTGTCTTATCCGTAATGTATTTCTGGATTACAAGGCAATTTTCAAGGTATGAGAAAACTTCCATAAAAAGATAAGAATAAATGGAAAAATTTGGAAACAGATAGTGGCAGTGGTTGCACATAATGAAGATAATTAATGTCAATGAACTACACATGTAAAAAATACTGCAATGGCAAATGTTTTGTTATATTTTTATCACACACACACAAGATAAGCATAAACTAAGTTGGATTCAGGACAGCAGTTTCTTTTCCAGTTCAAATCATCTTTTCCTGGGTAGGACTTATTTAACAAATAATGAGAAAGCAAAATAATAAAGGCATGGCTACTTCAATAGCAACTGTCTTGGGGCTGATAATTCAGAAAAATTTAGAGCCCTCTCTCTACCGATTCCAGTATTTTTTAACACTGGAATGAGTGAGTCGGCACTGAGGCCAGACTGGATTTGCCCTGGAAGCACCTGGGTGGCAGGGCTAGGTGGTTCTGTTACCTGAGATGAGGCGGGAATGGGCTGGGCCACAGGTGCCGGGACTGCCATTGATGGATGTAAAGCCACAGAAGCTGCTGACTCAGATGCACCCTCTGAATTCTGCATGCTCAGCTCTAAAGGAAGGTGGAGAGAGACTGAGTGGGGCAGGGTTGAAAACATGAAGCTCAAAGAGGAAAATTCAAACAAGTAAAAAGATAGGCAAGTGCTAAACTAGTTGCCGTCAGTTCGATTCCGACTCATGGCGACCCCATGTGTGTCAGAGTAGAACTATGCTCCATTTTCAGTGGCTGTTTTTTTGGAAGTAGGTCACCAGGCCTTTCTTCCACGGCACCTCTGGGTAGGTATGAACATCCAACCTTTGAGTTAGCAGCTGAGTGCTTAACCATTTGCATCACCCAGGCAAGCACAAGTTACCAACATTCTTCAAATTTTACATGCAGAAACCCTGGTGAAACTGGGTAATTCAGAAGGGGTGAAAAGGTTCCACAATAGTTCATAGAAAAAGAGAGGGGGAGGGGGCAGAGAATGGGTTTCCAAATATAAAACAACAACAAAAAAGGCTCTGGAAGTGATCATCATCGCACAAATGCAGTCCTTCCTCAACAGAAAGCCAGGAACACCAGCCTTCCTCTTTTCCAGTCTGACCAGGTTAAACCATTCTGAAAGGCTTGCTCCATCGTTTACTTGTTTATCCAGCAAACTGAAAATTTTTGATGTATGCTTGCAGTTTGTGCTACCCCAAACTATAAGCGCATTCTCCTAGCACAGGGTTTTTCTCACTTGGCACTGATGACTTTTGAAGCTGGATTATTTTCTGGGGTGGGGGCATCCTATGCACTGTGGGGTGTTGAGCAGCATCCCTGGTCTCCACCCACTAGATGCCAGTAGCATCCCTGACCCCCAGTTGTCACAATCAAAAATGTCTTTAGATACTGTCAAATGTCTCCTGAGGGGCACAGTTGACCCTGGATAAAAACCACTGCCCTAGGGGGAAAAGATCTGGCATGGGGACACTACACATCTTATCCCTGGCTCAAAAGACATCCTCAGGAATTTCAGCAGGAAGTACGAACTGTGTCTCTTCATAGAGATCATCATCTATAAGAAAGTAGCAAAATATATTTTTTTGCTGTCAGACACATAAATCTTTCAAGCAGGTAGTAAACAAAAATTCTATACAAAAAGACTCAATTAGCATCAGCACAAAGTAGCAGATGACAGAAATTCATTCTATGAAAATAGTAAAGATTAAATAAGTAGCTGGTGACCTTGAGCATTTGAGCAACCAAAATTTACACATTATTTCCAAATGCACATGGAATATTCACTAAAATGGGCCATATTCTGGGCCATAAAACAAGTCTTCAATACATTTCAAAAGACTGAACTTTTACAAAGCATGTATATACTTTGATCACACTGAAATAAAATTGAGGATCAATAACATATCTAGAAAAAGCCCAAATATTTAGAAATTTAAAAACACACTTCTAAAATAACCCATAGGTCAAAGAATAAACAACAAAGGAAATCAGAAAATATCTTGAACTGATAATGAAGACATCATATATCAAAATTCGTGGGATGTAACTAAAGCAGTGCTTAGAGGGAAATGTATAGCTTTATGGCCTTATATCACAAAGACAGGTGTAAAAATTAATCATCTAAATTTTCCACCTTAAGAAGCTACAAAAAGATAAGCTAATTAAACTTAAATTAAGTTGTTTTTATATTGCTATGTGCAGTCGAGTTGTGCTGACTCATAGTGACCCTACTGGACAGAGTGGAACTGCCCCATAGGGTTTCCAAGGAGTGGCTAGTGGATACGAACTGCTGACCTTTTGGTTAGCGGCCAAGCTCTTAACCATTTAGCCACCAGGGCTCCAAATTAAGTAAAAGGAAGGAAATAATAAAGAACAAAATGAATGAAATAAAAAATAAGGAAAATGCCAAAAGTTGGTTTTTTAAAAAGATTGACAACCCTCTAGAAAGACTAATAACAAAGAAACAGAAAAAACACAAATTGCCAATATCACAAATGAAATGAAATACCACTACAGATCCTGCAGACATCAAAAAGATAATATGGAACTATTATGAACAATTTTAGCCAACAGATTCGGCAACTTAGATCAAATGAATGCTTTTCTGAAAAACGTAACATACTAAAACTCACACAAGATCAAATAGAAAATGTGAACTGCTACATATCCAAGAAAGAAATTGGACATACTATCAAAAACTTCCCTACAGAGAAAACTCCAGGCATAAAGAGTTTCACTGGTCAATTCACTGGTCACTGAAAAAAGAATATCACACAAATCTCATCAGAAAACAGAGGAGAAAGGAATACTTCACTGATTTTATGAGATCAGCAAAACCCGATAGCAAAACTTGATAAAGATACTACTAGAAAAGTATTTAGCTCAATACCATTCATGAACACACATTCAAAAGTTCTCTACAAAATATTAATAAATTAATAAAATGTTAATAAATCAAATCCAGCAATATGTAACCAGTATAACTCACACTTACACTGTCAATTGATTTTTGACAATGGTAGCACAAAGGAAAGTCTTTTCAACGAATGGTGCTGGGTCAACAGGAGGTTTATATAGAAAAAAAGGTTGACCCCTAGCTCATACCATGCACAAAAATTATTTCAAGTTAGACCATAAACCTACATATAAACGCTAAAAGTATAAAACGTCTAAGAGAAAACATAGGGGGGCAGGCAAAGGTTTGACAAAGTGCAGAAAGTAATAAACATAAAAGAAAAACTTCATAAATCAGATTTCATCAAAATTAAAAACTGCTGCTTATCAAAGGGCTTCATTAAGAAAGTGAATAGGCAAGTCACAGACTGGAAGAATCTGCAAAAAATAAATCTGATGAAGGACTTTTATCCAGAACATATAAAAAGCTCCTACAACTTAATGATAAAAAGACAAACAACTTAAAAGTGAGAATGAGCAAAAAAAACTCGAACAGGCATTTCACAAAGGAAGATATACAGATGCCCAAAAAAGCACACTGAGATGTGCTCAACATCATGAGGCAAATGAAAATTGAAACTACAATGAGCTACATCTAAACTCTCACTGTTGCTGTTGTGTGCCGTCTAGTTAATTCCAACGCATGGTGACCCCATGTGACAGAGTAGAACTGCCCCCTAAGGTTTCCTAGGCTCTAATTTTTTGGGGTTTTTTGTGTATTAGGTGAAATTTTACAGAGCATATTAGTTTTCCATTTGATAGTCTGTACATAGAGTGTTCCATGACACTGGTTTCATTCCCTACAATGTGTCAGCACTCTCCTCATTTCCACCCTAGATTCCCCATTTCCTTTCATCCTGATTTTCTATCCCTTCCTGCCTTCTCGTCTTTGTTTTTGGGCAAATGTTGCCTTTTGGGTTTTCTTTTGTTTTGTTTTTTTTAATTGTGCTTTAAGTCAAAGTTTACAATTCAAGTTAGTTTCTCATACAAAAATTTATACACACGTTGTTACGTGACCCTAGCTGTTCTCCCTATACTGTGACAGCACACTCCTCTTTTCCACCCGCTTTCCCGTGTCCGTTCAGCCAGCTCCTGACCCTCTCTGCCTTCTCATCTGGCCTCCAGACAGTAGCTGCCCATTTAGTCTCATGTATCTACTTGATCTAAGCAGCACAATCTTCACAAGTATCATTTTATGTCCCATAGTCAAGTCTAATCTTTGTCTGAGGAGTTGGCCTCAGGAATGGCTTTCGTTTTGGGCTAACGCAGAGTCCAGGGGACATGTCTTCCAGGGTCCCTCCAGGTTCAGTCAAATCATTAAGTCTGGTCTTTTTACTAGAATTTGAGTTCTACACCCCACTTTTCTCCTGCTCCATAAGGGACTCTCTGTTGTGTTCCCTGTCAGGGTGGTCATTGGTGGAAACCAGGCACCATCTAGTTCTTCTGGTCTCAGGCTGATGTGGAGTCTCTGGTTTATGTGGCCTTTTCTGTCTCTTGGGCTAATATTTTCCTTGTGTCTTTGGTGTTCTTCATTCTCCTTTGCTCCAGGTGAGTTGGGCCCAGTTGATGTATCTTAGATGGCTGCTTGCTAGCTTTTAAGATCCCAGACACCACTCATCAAAGTGGGATGCAGAACATTTTCTTAATAAACTTTGTTATGCCAATTGACCTAGATGACCCCTGCAAATGTTGCCTTTTGATCTCATATAATTGATTGTTTTAAGGAGCACATTCCTCTCAGGTGTTATTATTTTATGGGCCTATCTGTGGTTTGGCTGAAAGATGGTCTCCTGGAATGGCTTCAGTTCCAGTTCAGAAGGGTGTGTTAGGGTCATAGTCTCAGGGGTTCCTCTAGTCTCTGTCAGACCAATAAGTCTGGTTTTTTTTTTTGTGAGTTTGATTTTTCTCCCTCTCTGTCTGGGACCCTCTGTTATGATCCTAGTCAGAGCAGTTGGTAGTGGTAGCCAGGCACCATCTAATTCTTCTGGTCTCAGGATCACGTACACTGTGGTTCATGTGGTCCATTAGTCCTTTGGACTAATTGCTCCCTTGAGTCTTTGGCTTCCTTCACTCTCCTTTGCTCCGGATGGCAGGAGATCAATAGATGAATTTTAGATGACCATTCGAAAAGCTTTTAAGACTCCAGACAAAACTCACCAAAGTAGGATGCATAACTTTGTTGTTACAAACCATGTTGTGCAAATTGACATAGATGTTCCCTGAGTCTACAGTCCTTCACCTCTAGGCTGTAATCTTTATGGGAGCAGATCTCCAGGTCTTTTCTCCCATGGAGATGCTGGTGGGTTCAAACTATAGCAGCCAAGTACTTAACTACTATGCCACTAGTGGTCCTTGTCAAGGATTTCATTTTGCTTGGATCCATAATCTACACCCATGGAAGCAGCAGTCAAGAAATCAAATGAAGGATTGCACTGGGCAAATGTGCTGCCAAAAAACCTCTTTAAAGTATTGAAAAGCAAAGATGTCACCTTGAAGACTAAGGCGCACCTGACCCAAGCCATGGTGTTTTCGATCGCCTCATATGCAGGCGAAAGCTGGACAATGGATAAGGAAAACCGAGAACTGATGCCTTTGAATTGTAGTGTTGGCGAAGAATATTGAGTATACGACGGACTCTGACTCAATGGCACCTAACAACAACAACAACCCATTGTCATTGAATCGATTCTGACTCACAGCAACCCTACAGGATAGAGAACTGCCCCATAAGTTTTCCAAGGCTGCCATCTTTATGGAAGCAGACTGCCAAATCTTTCTCCCTTGGAGCAGCTGGCGGTTTAGAACCATCAACCTTTCAGTTAGCAGCCAAGCACTTACCCACTGCACCACCAGAGCTCTTTAAACACAAGAATGACTCAAATCAAAAAGCCTGGCAACACCAAATGTTGGTGAGCATACGGCGCAACCATAACTCACACATTGCAGGTGGGGATGTGAAAGTTGGAAAAAGGTCTGGCAGTTTTCTAGAAAGTCAAACCTACCCTTTAACTTCTACCACCCATCTGTCAGTTTGCTGTACTGTGGTGGCTTGCGTGTTACTGTGATGCTGGAAGCTATGCCACTGGTATTTCAAATACCAGCAGGGTCACCTATGGTGGACAGGTTTCAGCAGAGCTTCCAGATTCAGACAGACTAGGAAGAAAGGCCTAGCAAACTACTTCTGAAAGTTAGCCAGTGAAGGTACTTTGGATCACAAGAGAATATTGTCCAATATTGTGCTGGAAGATGAGCCTCCTAGATTGAAAGGCAATTAAAATACACAGTGGCTGCAACAATGAACTTGAGCATATGAATGATCATGAAGATGGCACATGACTAGACAACATTTTGTTATGTTGTATATGGGTGTCTTAGTTATCTAGTGCTGTTATAACAGAAATATCACAAGTGGATGGCTTTAACAAACAAAAATTTATTCTCTCACAGTCTAGAAGGCTAGAAGTTCAAATTCAGGACACCAGCTCCAGGGAAATGCTTTCTCTCTCTGTTGGCTCTAGAAGGTCCTTGTCATCAATCTTCCCCTGGCTAGGAGCTTCTCGGTGCAGGGACCCCAGGTCAAAAGGATGTGCTCCACTCCTGGCTCTTCTTGCTTGGTGGTAATGAGGTCCCTGTCCTCTCTGCTTGCTTCTCTCTTTTATACCTCAAAAGAGATTGACTCAAGATGCAACCTAATCCTGTATATTGTATCCTACCTCATTAACATAACAGCCTCTAATCCTGCCTCATTAACATCATAGAGGTTAGGATTTACAACACATAGGATAATCAGATCACAAAATGGATGACAACCACACAGTACTGGGAATCATAGCCTTGCCAAGTTGACACACATTTCGGGGGGACACAACTCAAACCATAACAATGGAGCTGCCTTTAATGCAGAATTCTTCTCCTAGATATTTTTTGTTGTTAGTTGCCCTTGTGTTGATTCCAACTCATGGTTACCTCTCCTCATGGCGATCACGTGTGCAGAGTAGAGCTGACCGCCACATGCTTTTCTTGGCTGTGACCTTTCAGAAACAGAAATGCTAGGCCTGTCTTCTGAGGCAACTCTGGGTGGGCTGGAATGACTAACCTTTCAGCTAGTAGAGTGCTTAATCATTTAGGCCACCCAGGGACAACTCCTAGGTATTTATCCAAGAGAAATAAAAACATATGTCCTCAAAAAGCTTTTAGAAGCATATTCATAGCAGCTTTATTCACAATAGCAAAAAAGTTTACTAACCCAAATGTTCATCATCAGGAAAATGGATAAGAAATTGTGGTGTATTCATACAACGGAATGTTGTTGTTGTTGTTAGGTGCCCTCAAGTTGATTCCAACTCATAATGACCCTATATGACAGAACAGAACTGCCCTGTAGGGTTTTCTAGGCTGTAATCTTTACAGAAGCAGACCACCAGGTCTTTCTCCCTTGGAGTCGTTGGGTGGGTTCAAACCACCAACCTTTTGGTTAGCATCCAAGCACTTAACTGTTGTGTCAAATACTGTTTATCAGCAGGAAGGAATGGATACTGCCACACTGAACAACATGGATGAATCTCAGAATCACTGTGCTGAGTCAAAGAAGCTGGATCCAAGAGAGTTCATAATGTAGAACAGACAAAGCTAATCTCAGGTTTAAAAAAAAAAAGAACTATGGTGGAGATCAACTAGGAAGGAACATGAAAGACTTTCTAAGGAGATAGGCACATATCTAGGATGACAGGGTATGGGTTCATGGTGCATCCATTTGTCAAAATGAGACAGCTAAGATTTGCACATTTAGTGTATGCAAATTTTACCTCCCAAAACTGTAAAAATATAAAAATCAAGTTGGGGTTGGGAAATGGGTAGGTATAGATGGTACAAGAATGGCAGAATGCTGGTAATTGTTGAGGCTGGGTAATGGCTACACAAGGAAGTTCATTAAACTGTTGTGTTCATACATGTTTAAAATTTCTATAATACAAAGTTAACCTATAACCAGCTACTGTCAACTCCAACTCATGAAAATCCCATGTGTGTCAGAGTAGACTGTGCTCCACAGGGCTTTCAATGGCTGAGTTTTTGAAATTAGATCGCAAGACTGTTCTTTTGAGGCTCCTTTGGATGGACTCGAACCACCAAGCTTTCAGTTAGCAGCCAAGTGTGTTAACTGTTTGCACCCCTCAGGGACTCCAACAAAAAGTTAAACAAACAAACAAAAAGAACTACCTAGCAATTAGTGTTCAGCCAAAAATAATAAGTAGGAACACATTTTATCACTGGTCTTCGAGATACATACACAAGCTCACCACACTAACAGCACTTAGAGAGTAAGCAGTTCAGGGTAGTTCTTCTATAAGGGGAGAGGCTGGATCCTGAGTCTATTGACTATTTCACGATGCTAAATATGTTGAATTAGGTCTTTTATTCTGTGTTATATCCTTCATACATATTTGGTACTGAAAATACCCTTTCTTTTATCAAATGATGGTGGTAGAAGATGGTTGTTGTTCTATTCACGTTCTTATAAAATAAAGTTGGCAACTCTGTAACTGTCATCTAAAATTCTCCTTTAAAAATATCCTCCAGGTCCACGAAATCCAGAGTCTGGAAACCACTATTTCAAGTGTGATTATAAAAAGAGGAGCAAAATATTCTTTGCAAGAGGGTTTGACACCAACTAACTTAGTGTAAACTCTCAGTGCTTTGATTTCTTCATCTACAAAATCAATATAATAATAGTACCCACCTTCACTGGGTTGCTGTGAGGATTAGACATTACACGTACTTAGAAAAATGCCTGGCACATAGGAAGTGCTAGCTAGCTATCATTATTTTAACTACTGTTATGTTCACTTGTATTATTTCAAGTTGAGCCACATTCCATCTATCATTGGTAGTAACACGTACAATTCCTTTCAGAGAGGCTCTTTTGTACAAAATCACAAATTAAGGGTGAATCTTAAAGTTAAAACACTGTACTATGATCCAAAAACTCAGAGCATGAATAGGACAACTTAAAGTCACATGCCTCCAAGTAAACTTTATAAAAACTTTGCTGCCATGTGGGGCCAAGTTTGTATAAGTGAGATCTCAAAAAGGTAAGCACTGATACAGTGAAAAAGGATTAATGTTGTTTACTTATATAGAGTTAAGAATAAAAGACAGTCAACGGACAAAATAAGCAGCAATTTTGAGTAGAAGTAATATTTCAGGGAGAGGAATGGAAGAACAGGTATTACCAGCATTAACTAGTACCTGGTATCAAATTCTTTCTGCCTATTACAAACAACGATTGAAAAAGAGAGTAGCTGCTGAGGCTGCTTATGTACAACCAAACACCTCATTGGATTTGGTGCCTTGGTTTGGAGGTTTAGGGTCATGGTTTCATGGGACATCCCAATTAACTGGCCTTAGAACCCTTTCAAGACCCAATTAACTTTTCCTTTTAAAATTTTTTAGATACTATGTGTTTTCAGTAATGGAAGACATGCTGAATTAAGGAGTTCTTAATTTATGTGACGAAATACGGATTTCGATACATATTTTGTGGGGCACATATGTCCCAGAAAATTCCAGAAGTAGGAAATATTGGCACTATGAGGCAAGGATGAGATCGTTTTATCTTAGCAATTTTATTTTTTTTCGTGAAACTTTTCAAAACATGGGCCAATACACAAAGGCACCTGGCACTGCTTACACATAACTCTTGTTCTAGTCTCCTTTTTCCTGGTACTGCATTCTCTGCATCGCCTTCTAGATCCTTTGACAGGAAAATGCTTTCCAACCTGCTGCAGTCGTACCTCATCTGGCACTCCGGTTACTCCTCGCTTGACCCACGCCATAAACGAGGGTCTTCCTCTTTTCTTTCTTTTCTGGCCCACAGTAAGCTGCCTGCTGAGAGCGAGCCTGAAGGACAGTTGGTTACATCTGCCCCCGTGGTTACAGTTCCACATTATAAAACTGTTCACAATGGCAAGGTCAATAAGAAAATGCAGCAACCGATGCCACCATTTGCGAGAGCGTCTTCCAATTGCATACCTTTCGCGTCTCTGGTCAAAGCGGTCCACTCCTCCCATAATGGCATTGTATTCTGCAACTGCTCTTGGGCAAGGGATTTGTGAAGAGGAACCATCTTTGTTCTTTCTTTTGACAACAGTGATATCCTTTGGATTGTGGAATGTTGACAAAACTGTCACAGGTTTATTGTCCTGCCACTTTACTGCTGACACGCACCCTTTCGTACGAAACTTAAATTCTCCGCGTTGTAAACCATCTTTCCTCCTCAGCATGTCTGGTAGCCCCTTTCTAGTTGCTCGCACTGTGCCAACAGCATACAGTCCCCTTTCGTTCATGCTTTTCATCAAGTGATAGGATGTAAAAAAATTGTTGAAGGAAATAAGCCTATGAGAATGGTACCATGAATGACATAGTCCAAGTACAACACTCTCACCAACGGAGAGAGACGAATTGTGGTCTACACCTTTTTTTCCACAGTAGATATCAAACTGAGTCACAAAGCCAGTTTGTGAGTCAGCCAAGCACCAAACTTTGTACCCCTGCTTAACAGGCTTTATGGGCATGTATTGTTTTATTGATGAATGGCCCTTGAATGGTACCATGCTTTCATCAACTGCCATGACACTTGATGGCACATACACCTCCTTTAGGCGGCTATTAAGAGCATTGATAATTGGGCGCAATTTGTGAAGCCAGTCGTAGCCAGGTTCTCCTTTGGGCACGGCTTTTGAATTGTCATTGCAGTGTATGTTCTCGGTCAGTTTCTTGAATCTAGCTTTAGTCATAAGTTCTGGAACCGAAGCAACACCCAGGCTAGGGTCACTGGACCAATAATGCCTGAGCTCTGGCAAGACGTGTATACCCATCACTATGTGCACAGCAATGTATGCCTTTATTTCCTCTACGGTTGTAGGCTGCCAGTTTTGTGTTGACCTTCTAATCTCCTGCCCTCTAGATCGTGTGGTGCGTTCCTGGGTTGCATAAAGATTCGTTTGGTTCTTTATAGTTTCCAACATCTCCTCCGTAAATACAGACAAAAAATAATCTACTTCTGTGTCTGTATGGGCCAAGTCCGGGTAAACTTGGGCATGTTGCTGAAGTGAGGCAGTTAGATTTTCAAAGTATGAGACATCCTCGCACCATTCCCCTTCACTTCCTTCCCTTTCATCATGGGCATCATCATCTGCTTCATCCCCTTCCTCTGCTACATCGACTTCTTCCTCATTCTCAACTACCATGTCAGTGTTGTTGTCCCTACCTTCAGAATGTGCTGCAGATTGCTCAAGACTGGTAAGGTCCTCCAAGGCATCCTCGTCACTGTCCTCCTCTGAGGCATCCTCATCACTCTCCTCCTCTGAGGCATCCTCATTGTCGGGTAGAGAAAAGAAATACTCTAGAATTTCTTCGGTGGTTCTAAATCTCTTCGCCATTTCTAAAACAGAGGGATGTTTCAGAAAAACATAATTGTTGGTTCTGCAAAACTAGGAGAATACCTATAGCATACCTCCAAACAAGCACGAGACTATACAAGGCAAGCAAATTGCCTAATTCAAGCATCCTGCACAAGTAGATAAAACCATAGGAATTTGTGCCTGTGGAAAATCACCACTACAATGAATTCTTTCTTACTGCAAAAATAGTACTTACAGTTCAGAAACAAGGAGAGCAGTCCTGGAAGATTGCAAGACAACAACTGACAGCTGATCAGGGATGCCGCAACACGTACATGCAATCAGTGGCGCCTGAGAATGAATAGCGCCTAAGAATAACGTACAGGAATTTGTGTCTGTGGAAAATCACCACTACAATGAATTCTTTCTTACTAATAGTACTTACAGCTCAGAAACAAGAAGAGCAGTCCTGGAAGATTGCAAGACAACAACTGACAGCTGATCAGGGATGCCACCGCACCTGAGAATGAATGGGGCCTAAGAACAACCTATTCTCATACGAAGTACATTCTCCCAAGAAGTACATTCTCCCAAGCACACAGGAACCAGGAAATGTACTTATGAGGCTTATTTCCCAGTAAAAAAACCAAAAGACAAAATTTTTGCAAAGCCATACCTCCAGGATACAACACCGAAAACAATACTTCTTTAACATAGTAATTTGGTACCAACACCCATTTCTTTAGTTTCACGCAGTTAAACAGGTCCCTACTTGGTGGCAGTATGCACTGAAATCAGGAAAACAGTTTCCCAAAAAACCTGAGAACCTGAAAATGTTTGGGGCACATTGTGTCCTAAGAATTATGAAAAGTGCTTCTTCTGTTCTACCTCCTAATTTGTTGTGTAGTGCCTAGGGTTTTAAAAGCTCCAAGGCATGACAATTGGTCTCTACTGCCTGGAGCAATAGAGGAAGAGAGTCAATAATAGGAAGAGGAAACGGAATGTGTGGCTAATTGCCTCCATGAACAACTGCCTCCTTTGCCATGAGACCAATAGAAGTGGATGGCGTCTGGCTACCATTACTAGACATTTTTACCAAAGATTCTACAGAAGAATCCTGATCAAAAGCGGAAAAATGCAGAACAGAATTTCAAATTCTCATAGACTCCAGACTTTCTGGAACCATGGAAGTTGGAAAATCTTCAAACCTTAAACCAAAAATATCCCCTGAAGTCTTCTTAAAACCAAACAATAGTTTAGCTTAATTAGTAAGGAATATCTGCCGCGAGCACGTGCTCTTCCAAGATCTCTCTATACGGGATCAAGTTAGAAAAATTACGGGGCAGTGAGTTTATGTTACTGGGGGAAGAACAGTTCAAAAAAGGAGGGTGAGAATGGTTGCACAACTCAAAGAATGTAATCAATGTCACTGAATTGTACATGCTGAAACAGCTGAATTGGTGTATGTTTTGCTATGTATATTCTCAACAACAAAAAATAATAAATTGTTTAAAAAAATTTTTTTTTCTGCCTGGTTTTCTCCTGGAGGCTTCTTGTTATTAGTTGCCATGGGGTAGGCTTCAACTAATGGAGACCTCATGTGTGCAGATTAAGTGCTCCATAGGGTGTTCAAGGCTATGACCTTTCAGAAGCAGATCGCCAGGCATGTCTTCCGAGGTACCTCTGGATGGGTTCAAACAATAAACTTTCCTCTAGTAGTCAAGCACTTAACCATTTGTGACACCCGGGGACTCCTACTGGGAGAATGGAATCATGAAATTGAACACCTTCCAGTCAAAGTGGAGACCTGTGGCTCCTACTATCTTATGATTGGAAAGAAGGATAGATTTATATGCTTCTGTGAAACATCTACAGCAAGAGTCAGGAATCCACACTTCCTTTACCCTTTGTAAAATCACATAAACCACAATTCTAAATACTGCTTTGGTTCTCAAGGTCAGCTAAAGGAACATCTCTATTCTCCTCTCACTGTACACTAGACTGAATCTTGCTCCTTACCATTGTCTTGTAAGGGGTGGTTGGATTGTGAAGATTCATTTTTTAACTGGTTTGCCAAGGGCAACTTTAAATATGGTGACTCCTGTGCTGTTTCCATAGGTTCCGTCTCCTTCAAAGGCATTTCCTGTGAGCTAACAGGAACCTAGGAAAAAATGAGTACAGATGGGTTCTTGAGGGCATTAATATGGGAACCAGAGCTAAGACAATCCATGAAAATACCAAAAAGGAAAAAAAAAACTTATCCATATCCAAACATAAAGACAAATCAGAAGTAAGTAGCTCTAGACTTGAGGAGAGAAAACGGCAATTTGCCTCCTCCCCAACTGCTGGACAAATGCCTCCCCCGCAGAACAGAGATCCAAATCCCTTTCCCTCAGTATACCTCACATTCTCTCTCCCACCTGCTCTCCTGGCTCATCCAGCTCTCTCTCTAAATCCTCCAGCACAGTCACTGCCTCCTCCCCGCTCTCTGGATGCTGCTCCCGCACCCAGCTCTGCAGCTCTCTGGGCAGGATGGTCAGGAACTGCTCCAGCACCAGCAGCTCCAGGATCTGCTCCTTGCTGTGCATCTCGGGCTGCAGCCATTGTCGGCAGAGCTCCCGGAGCTGGCTCAGGGCCTCTCGGGGCCCAGGTGTCTCTTGATAACAAAAGTGCCTGAACCGCTGGCGAAAAATCTCCCTGGTATGGGTTTCTTTCCTTTGAAAGCTGGATTCTTGTCTCCAAATATGTTCATCTTCCTCCACCTTCACGATCTGAAGCCCCACAGGCTCCTGTGTAACTTGGAGGGACAACTCTGCAGCTTCTCTTGGCTTCATGGTCTGCTGGGTTGAAACAACCCCCTCAAAAAAAGGTATTAAGCATTCTCGGTTGAGATATTCCCTCTGAGGTTCCTTTCAGGGTGGAAAGGAAATAGGCAATTCTTCTATGATGAGCAGGACAACCTAGATGGCAGACACATTCTGACTTAAGAAACAACATAAGGAATCTCTATTAGAAAAGCTCTAAGAGACAATACATCACAAATCCAAATAAATTCCCATATAAAGATTTTTGCTTTTCCTGCTTCCCAAAGTTGCCCCCTCCTCTGCAATTCCATAGCATTTGTTCATCTCCTTCATGGTACTTAGCAAGTGATGCTGGAATCATTGGCTTTTATATCTATCTCCACCACAGGAGCTGTCTTCTCCCTTTTTATACAAAAATCTCACCTTCATATAGTGCTTTATAGTGCAGTTTACAAAGTGCTTTCACAAACATTATTTTCTTTATGTCACAATAAAACAGCAGGATAAGAGCTAAAAAGAGCCAAATAATCTATCATCCCAAATAACTCTGGGGTACCAAAAAAGAACAGGAGAATCTTCTCTTGTTTAAACCTAGAGAGGAACCGAAGTAACCTTGGTTTTTGGAGGCTGGGCTGGCTCAGGGGCTGTGACACACCGTCCGAGGCCCTGCGGAAAAAGCGCAGGCCAGATGATAAGGTGGGTGGTCCGCAAGAACACGGGTCTGGCTAGCGCCGAGAACCACCCCGGAGTCCACGATTTGAAACATCCGGGGGCGCCAGCCCGGAAAAGTGGACGCCAACTCTCGCCAAAATCAGCCTGCTCAGCCGCTCCCTCCGAGGAGCCCAGGAACCACCTACCCCCTGACTGGCTAGGTCTCCGACACCGCCACTCCAGCCAGCGAATCCGATGTTCTCACCAGGAACTCCAAGTGGGTGAGGGGGAACTAAAAATTAACTTCTAACTGACCGTAAAGAAGCCGATCGCCGAACCAGCCCAGCCTACAAAAGCCTAGGTTACTTCCGGATCCTCTCTAGGACGCTGGGAGGTCTCGCCTTCTCAGTGGTTCCCCAGCCTTTTGTTTTCTGCGTGAAGAGAGTACTAAAATCGCCAAAAACTCTCAAACTGACCTACAGAGTTAACCGACTCTTTGCTTCTCCCGTTGTCAGGATCAAACTCCCCTCTCCAAAGAGTTTCTTCAGCTCAACAACTACATCCTATATGTTATCACTAATCCCAATCTTGAATTCTTTCAATTGATACAGGCTATAGGTATAGATTCTATGGACAAAATATTGAACGACCCAGGAAACATCAAAAGCAGATGGAAGGAATACACACTCACGGTACCAAAAAGAATTGGTCAACGTTCAACCATTTCAGGAGGCAGGACATGATCAAGAATCGATGGTATTGAAGGAAGAAATCCAATGTGCACTGAAGGCATTGGCGAAAAACAAGTCTCCAGGAATTGACGGAATACCAATTGAGATGATTCAACAAATTGGTACAATCTTAGAATCGTTCGTTCGTCTATGCCTAGAAATTTAGAAGACAGCTACCTGACCAACTGACTGGAAGAGATCCATATTTGTGCCAATTCCAAAGAAAGATGATCCAACCAAATGTGGAAATTATTGAACAATATCATTAATACCACACACAAAAATTTTGCTGAAAATAATTCAAAAACGGTTGCAGCAGTACATTAACAGGGAACTGCCAGAAATTCAGACCAGATTCAGAAGAGGACAAGGAACGAGGGATGTCATTGCTGATGTCAGAAGATCTTGGCTGAAAGCAGAGACTACTAGAACGATGTTTACCTGTGTTTTATTGACTATGCAAAGGCATTTGACTGTGTGGATCATAACTAATTATGGATACTGTTTCGAAGAACGGGAATTCCAGAACACTTAATTGTGCTTGTAAGGAATCTGTACATAGACCAAGACGCAGTTGTTGGAACAGAACAAGGGGCTATTGTGTAGTTTAAAACAGGAACGATGTGTGTCAGGGTTGTATCCTTTCACCATACTTATTCAGTCTGTAGGCTGAGCAAATAATCCGAGAAACTAGACTACATGAAGAAGAATGGGCATCAGGACTGGAGAAAGACTCATTAACAACCTGTGATATGCAGATGACACAGCCTTGCTTGCTGAAAGTGAAAAGGACTTGAACCACTTATTAATGAAGATCAAAGACTACAGCCTTCAGTATGGATTACACCTGAACATAAAGAAAACAAAAATCCTCACATCAATATGTAACATCATGATAAATGGAGAAAAGATTGAAGTTGTCAAGGATTTCATTTTACTTGGATCCACAGTCAACACCCATAGAAGCAGCAGTCAAGAAATCAAACGGCATAGTGCATTGGCCAACTCTGCTGCAAAAGACCTCTTTAAAGAGTTAAAAAGCGAAGATCTCACCTTGAGGACTAAGATGTGCCTGACCCAAGCCATGGTGTTTTCTATTGCCTCATATGAATGCGAAAGCTGGACAATGCATAAGGAAGGCCAAAGCAGAATTGATGCCTTTGAATTATGGCGTTGGTGTAGAATACTGAATATACCAAGGGCTGCCAGAAGAACGAACAACTCTGTCTTAGAAGAAGTACAGCCAAAATGCACCTTAGAAGCAAGGATGACAAGACTTCATCTCGAGTACTTTGGACATATTATTAGGAGGGGCCAGTCCCTGGAGAAGGACATCATGCTTGATAAAGTAGAGGGTTATCGAAAGCGAGGAAGACCCTCAAGGAGATTATTGACACAGATGATTCTGAAGATGGAGAAGGACCAGGCAGTGTTACGTTTGCTATGAGTTGGAATCGGCACCACAGCAGTGGGTTTGGTTGGGTTTGGAATCTCCTCTAGAAGGAGCCCTCGTTGCTCAATGGTTAAGAACTTGGCTGCTAACCACAAAAATGGCAATTGGAACCCACCAGCCCCTCCTTGGGAGAAAGATGTGGCAGTCTGCTTCTGTAAAGATTGCAGCTTTGAAAACCCTATGAGGCAATTGGAAACAGATTTGGTTTGGAATCTTCCTTAGCTTCCTTTTCCACCACATCCTCTTAGCAAAGTCTTCACCAGTATTACTTTGAACTACTTTAGGTTCCCACTAGGACTTTGCCCATGCTGCTCCTTCTGATTCAGTCAGTCTTTCTCCTACCTCTACTCCTTTTCTGGCTTTCTCTTCCTTACACTGAAGTTTAGCTTAGATAGATAGCATCTCCACACCAAAACTTTCTCTGCTACCTCTTCTGGCACTTGCCATACTGTATTAGAATTTCCTGTTTCTTCTTGTTTAATCTTCTGCCCCAACTGTGTGTCCTTGAGGGCACTGTTTGCTTTGTTTCCTATTACAGCCCCTAGGGCAAGCACAGTACCTGGCTCAAACTAAGTATTCAAGAAATATTTCTCAACGAGTGAAGGAAAGAAATCAATCTCCTGAAGAAATTGGGGTTACTTCACTTCAGTGTCACTGGTACCTGAAAATATCAAAGAATAGCTTTTATCTCATGGGGTGTGAGCAGTTCAAGTTTGTGGTTAGGTAAGTAAAGCTCTGGCTGCAGAGCTAAACCAATTAAGGAAAAAGGAGTCAACTAGAGGAAATAAAATGAATTCATGCTCCCAAAGCAGTAGTCCTCAAACTGCAGCTGCACAGTAGAATAATCACTTGTGGAGCTTTTACAAAACCAGAGCCTCCAGAGCAAAATTTTAGAGAGTAGCAAAAAAAAAAAAAAAACAAGAAAAAAAAACAAAAAACCTCAGTAATGAAGGTAAATAACATTTTAATGAAATATTTTAAAAAATCAAGTGGGGCCCAGAGGCCAGCTGCCTGTTTTTGTAAACAAAGTTTTAACAGAATCAGGGCTGAGATTGGGGTGAGCTGAGTTATGCAAGCGCAAGGTCAGATGCTATCTTTATTTAAAATTTTGATATTTTTTTGATCATGGATTTTTTAAATTAATTTTGATTATTTTAAATATTACTTATCTTGATTACTGAGTTTATTTTATGCCCCCTTAAATTTTGAGCCTGAAGTGTGCCTGAATCCTGTAAAAAACACCAGTGCTCTGCCCTCAGTCCCATAGATTCTGATGTGTTGGTCTGCAGTGATGCCTGAGGGTCAACATTTTTTTAAAGCCCCCAGGTTTTTTTCTTTAACCTGCAGCCAAGATTCAGATCACTGTCCTAAAATTCAGCGCAGTTTTAGATCACTCAGCCAGGTAGCAAAGCAATTTTCATAGTGTGTAGAACATACTAGTTTCCAATTTTACTTCTTTTTTTCTTACAACTTTTCTTACAGTTATAAACATAAATACATTTAGCGTACTTTTAGCGCATTCACTTATATATCTGAATTTCTCAAAACTAGATGCACATTGGAAACAACTGAAGAGTTTTTAAAACTTGCTTATGCCCAGGCTGGACCGTATTTCAGACTAATTAAAGTGGGACACAGACATCTGTGTTTTTTAAAAGTTCTTCAGGTGATTTTAATGTGCAGCCAACGTGGAGAGCCAATTATTTAGACAAATATTTCTTTGACCAAGTGACCTTGAACAATTAACCTCTCTGGGGCTCAATTTTTTTCCATATGTAAACCGGTGGTAATTGTATTACCTTCTGTTGAGGAAACGTAATGGAAAACAAATCTACTCCCAACCCAGAAAACCTCACCACAAAAACAGAAGAGAATGAAAAGTTTTATTATTGAACACGTGTTAAACCAGAACATGAATGCATCACAGGTAATGTGATAATGAGATTGCTAAAACAGAAAGAAATCTTACTCTTTACATGTATAGTTAAGTGGATACAATTTATTATATTAATGTTTTCAAGATAAAATTGCTAATTTTCTCTCAGGGAACATCTAGCTCAATTGGCATAACACAGTTTATAAAGACAATGTTCTATATTCTACCTTGGTGAGTAGTGTCTGGAGTCTTAAAAGCCTGTGAGCAGCCATCTAAGATACTCCACTGGTCTCACCCCTTCGGGAGCAAGGGAGAATGAAGAGAACAAGATACAAGGAAAAGATTAGTCCAAAGGACTAATGGACCACAACTACCACGGCCTCCACCAGACTGAGTCCAGTACAGCTAGATGGTGCCTGGCTACCACCACTGACTGCTCTGACCGGGATCACAGTAGAGTCCTGGAAAGAGCTGGAAAAGGATGTAGAACAGAACTCTAACTCACAAAAAAAAAACGACCAGATTTACTGGCCTGACAGACTAGAGAAACCCCGAGAGTATGGCCCCCGGACACCCTTTTAGCTCAGTGGTGAAGCCCCTCCCGAAGTTCACCATTCAGCCAGGGATTGGACAGCCTCATAAAACAGAACAAGACTAATGAGGCACAGTAGTCCAGGGACAAGGACTAGAAGGCAGGAAGGGACAGGAAAGCTGATGATGGGGAACCCAAGGTGGAGAAGGGACAGTGTTGACATGTCATGGGGTTGTTAACCATTGTCATAGGGCAATATGTGTACTAACAGTTTAATGAGAAACTATTTGTTCTGCAAACCTTCATCTAAGGTACAAAAAATAAATAAATAAAGAATTATGTGAGATCAGATTGACAACAGCAACTCAAAAGGTTTGATGGGAAGCCTAGGAGGCAGTGAGTTGAAGATAATGGTGATGCAATAATTTAGAAAAGGATAGTGAGAATAGCAGCACAACTGGAAGAATGTAATCAATGTCACTGAATTGTACAAGTAGAAACTTTCGAAATGGTGTAACTTTGGCTATGTATATTTTCACCGGAAAAAAGGTCCTCAAGGTCGAGAAGGGAGAGTGTTGACATGTCATGGGGTTGTTAACTAATGTCATAAAACAATATGTGTACTGACTGTTTAATGAGAAACTATTTGTTCTGTAAACCTTCATCTAAAGTACAATAAATAAATTTTTTTAAAAAATTGCTAATTTTCTAGCAGCATTCGGGAAGAATAGCTGAAGTTATGGTAATCTCCTCCTACGAAACTGGGAGGCAGTGAGGGGATCTTCCTTGATGATTACATTTCAAAAGAAATGGCTTCCAGGTCCTTGAGAGACAGAGAAAGACTTTAAAAGTTTTCTAAAGTGATTGATGAAAGAAAAGGGGAGGCGATCTCTTCCTTATTTTTAGTTTATATTTGCCCTTACATCCTGCAGATATGAATCTTCAATAACTGGCTTTAGACATTTAGTCTGAAGATCGAAGATTTATATTCTTCTCCTAAAAGATAAGGAAGTCTTGGAATGCCGTGTTCCTGAGACAACCAGTCACTTAACGAGGATATAAACTCC